ACATTCCTCCAGCACATCAATTAACCCCTCCCAAATACCAGCCCCCCCCTCCCCGTTTCATGGCAGCTGAAGCAACAGCAAGGCAGAAGCTGACACATATCCAATTCTTGGAAACTGTCTGGAAAAGTCCCTATAGTTTTCTTGGCAAAGTCTTTCAGATGTGGTTTGCAATTGCCTGTTTCCTAGAGCTGAAAGAGAATGACTAGACCAAGGTCACCCAATGATTGCCATTTGTCAGAAATGATGTAGGGTCTCCTGCTTGAGTGGGGAGGGGGCTTGGACTAGATGACCTATAAGGTCCCTTCCAACTGTTAATCTCGTATCTTATCTTATCTAGATGGCTTTGTGCATAAAGTAGGAGTGGAACTCACATTCTTCAAATTCTAGCTTGAACCACTTCATCAAACTGGTTTTCATCCTTAGCAGATATAACTTCTTATCATATCTTTGTTTAAAAGATCCATAACCTCTCGGATCTGGCTCTTTCCAACTCAGATATTTTCTGGTTTCATGAATCAGAATAACGAATTGGTATTTTGGAATTCTGAACATATTTAGCACTCTCCTTGGTTACTTCATTCGGTTCTCTGAAATATAATCCATAAAATCTTTATTAGGTCATTTGGACCAGTAATTTGTCACGCTTCCTCATCTAGAATTCTTTCACTCTTTGTCTTTGGTTTTCATAAACAGTAGCATCCAGTTTCAGTAGACTGAATTACTAGGCAACGTAATCAATGGATGCAGATCTACTCATCTTCTATGATTCAGCCGATTTAAGGTAAAATGAAATCCCTCCTTGATAAAATGAAATGTTATCCAGTGCAAGGAAGAAGTGAAGGATGGGGATCAAAATAGGAAGAGATGAAGATCCAGTGCTGTCTCTATCAGCGTGAATAATACTAAAACTGGATAAGTCATCAAAATAGAATACCTTTTCTCTCCTGCTGAACAAACAGCATCAACATCCTACTAAATTTCAATTTAAACCTGTTCTATCTCATATATAGACCCACACAGATTTCAACAGCATCACCATTCTGCCTGGTTATCATCTGCTTATTGCTGGTACCAAACTCCAAACCACTAAATGATCTTTCCCATTGACTTCAGGTAAACGTTATAGAGGAAGGGAGAAAGATCCCAGCAGCGAATGAGTGAGAAGACACACAAGAAAATAGCCACTGGGTTGATCTGCTCCTACAATTGAAACCGCTGTTAAGGATGCACTTAATAGCTTAATAGCACTTTGTGAAACCACTACATAAAAGTGCCCACAATCCTAATCCTGAAAGACAGTCCCAAAAGATGCCATGATGATGCCGATGATGATAATAATGAGAATGATGATGACATGATGATGATATCATGATGATAATAATAATAATACTAGCAGCAACAATTTGGCAAGAATATAACCATTGACCACAAGTTTCCAAAGCTTTCTCTACTGCTTTAAGGGCTGTTTTGTATGTTTATGTGGAAGCTGAGATTCTTAAGGAATCACATAGTCAAGAAATTTCTTTTAAAACAGAAAAAAAAATCTTCACCACATCATTTTCTTTCTTTCTTTTTTGGGTGGGTGGGTGGGTGGGTGGGTGGGTGGATGGATAGATGGATGGATGGATGGATGGATGGATGGATGGATAGATACATACATACATACATACATACATACATACATAATTTTGGGAATCAACACTTGATTTTTATATTAAATAAAGAAGGATAGTGTTCCAGTTTTCTCTGAGTGCAATAATCACAGTAAATTTAATATTTACTTTATGTTGGTGTTCCCATTGTTGTATATCAATTGCTCTGTTTAATTTGCAAAAATATAATAATGTAATCTCTGACTCATTCAATTTCTGAAGCATATTCAATAACATTTAAGCTCTAATAGATGTTTTGAATTGTGTGTTGTGTATTTCAAATTTGGTCAAGTCTCTACATTTTCCACTTTGCATTTGTAATTCTTTCGAAATGAAAGGAATATCCTTTTATTACTTATTTGGATATATTGGAACCTATGAGGCATTTCTAAGCATACCAAGAAGAGCAAAAAAAAATTCTTCTTAAAAAACAGATTATAGATTAAGTCTTGCAACCTATATGAATTATTATCTCTCCATTGATTTTTTTAATACATTCATCTTCATGAAAATAAACAATATTGAAGCAAGAAGCTTAGCAGCTTCTTTTGTAATTAGCCCATATTTTAAGAGCATTATGTAGAATTGAGTAATAATTTATAGATTGGACACTTTTGTTTAAATCCAACCATAAACATTTATGCAAGTCGCCTGGGAATCCTGCTTCTTAAATACAGCAGATATGACCCAATCTTAAACAACTACCTTGATAGTCTAGTTTGTGATTTGTCTGGGATGGTCCAAGGATTCTTTTTCTGGTCAGACAATTGGATTATAAGATCCCTAAGGTCCCTCTCAGTCTTACAATACTATTTATTCTATGTTATTTTACATAGCAATAGATTGCTAAGTAGCACTTAGCAATCAGTGCATTGGATAAGGCAGAGCTGAAGTCATACCTACCATCTAATTCTTATGCTTCTTCTATCAACTTTATAGTTGTTGCACTGTTATTTTTAATTCAAGAAACTAAAATCTGAACTGTCCAATTGCTGCCCAGTTCTTTGTGAACTAAAGTAACGCCACAATGGTGTTTCTTATATTATTATTCAGTTTGAAGTTAGCAGTGCTCAGAACTTCCCCAATCTTTTTTTTTTCTTTTAACAATACCTTGCATCGGGGTGAAGTTGGAGCAACTGAATAGAACTTGAGTATTTACAGGTCAGATGCCCTTCCTGGTGCCTATGTGGGGGTTGCAGCAGATAATTACTCATTGAGGGCAGAAAGAGAAATATCTGCCACTACCTAGGATCAAACTCACACCGTCCTGATTGTAAGGTGAGAACTTCACCTCTAGACCACCACACCACTGAAACTCCCCCAATATAATATCCACTAAATTGTGGGAACTGTACAGGTGAAACTGGAAAAATTAGAATATCGTGCAAAAGTTCATTTATTTCAGTAATGCAACTTAAAAGGTGAAAATAATATATGAGATAGACTCATTACATGCAAAGCAAGATAGTTCAAGGCGTGATTTGTCATAATTGTGATGATTATGGCTTACAGCTCATGAAAACCCCAAATCCACAATCTCAGAAAATTAGAATATTACATGCAATCAATAAAACAAGGATTGTACATGGAACAATATTGAACCTCTGAAAAGTATAAGCATGCATATGTACTCAGTACTTGGTTTGGGCCTCTTTTGCAGCAATTACTGCCTCAATGCAGCATGGCATGGAAGCTATCAGTCTGTGGCAC